CGGGCTATCTAAAGTTCAAGAGCAAGTTTATTCCCAGGAATCAGGATTGACATTGACCAAAACTGCCAAATCATTTTTCAGCGGCCTTCAGCATGATAGTGTCAAGACTGGCGGTGTTCTAGGTTTCAGGTAGGCGCGTTTTATCACGACCTTCTTCCTATTACCACCCCGAAGCTCAACAGCAGTAATAGGGACTTACCAGCAGAGCATGTTGTACTGGGCAGGCGGGCATCATCGGTTTGTGAATCAAGTGCCGAGGCGTAGGCGAATGCGGCACTGCGAGGGCCGCAGTCCTCGTATGCCAATTTCCTCCAAATCTCGTGAATTTTGCATTTTCCGTGCAACAGTGCCAAGTTTCAAGAAGTCTGCATAATTGATTTAATTTATAGACGGTGAACGGTACGTATATATTCGCACTGGCTTTGCTCTTCGACATCCAGAATGTCCACCATCCCATCTTCGAGGCCACCAACCTCACAGTCCTCTCAGCGCAAGCGTATCTACCTCGCGTGCGTCAATTGCCGTCATCGCAAAGTGCGCGTAAGTTGCATCTCCTGCGACTCGAGACTTGCTTTCAACTTTATATCAGTGCATTACTACCGACGAAAACACCCCGTGCCAGAGATGCGTGAAGCACGGTCTCCTATGCGAATATGTACCTGTTTCCTTGGAGCGGGAGAAATCCCTCTTCGCCATCCCTCCCGGAGAAGGATCGACGTCAACTCCCCCTTCTACGATGCCGCCTTCGTGGAGTCAAGCCCCTCCTCTCCACAGCGCTTATGGACACGGTCATCACGCACCACCAAGGGCTCCGTACTTCAACCCTAGTCATGGGCAACCGGGTGCACCTCCTCATTTCAATTCAGGGCCGGGTTTCCTGCCAGGCCGCTCCCATTCTGTCCCACCGCCATTTCCTCATCCGCCATCCCCGAACTTCCCATACAACCATGGCACTACTCCCTTTCCGCAGAACACTCAGCCAGGCCACTATCCGATGGCCCAACCATCCCACCACCAGCCGATGGCCACACCTCCAGGCTTTCAACCCGACCCTCGGTATCCCACTTTCGGAGCTGCCCCTCCAACGTATCAAGCGCCACACAGGTAAGTATAGTTTCTCAACGCGCGGTACACATACTCAGTCTGTATATAGCCAATGTGTGTGTCCCCGAGCAGGGCCCTGTGTTTGCGGTTTAAGATCGCATTGATGCAGCTACCGAGGCGGCTTCGCAACCATAGACAGTTGTAGTTTCAAGTCATTTGACTTTGGACTTTCTATGCATGTGCGTGTTACGATCGCATTGATGCAGTTACCGGGGCGGTTTCGCCAACATAGACACCTTTAGTTTTAGGTCGTTTGACTTTGGACTTTGTATGCATGCGATAGATAGAGTGTTGATATACAACGACGAGAAAGCTACTTAATTATCGGGTTTGGCGGTGTTGAAACCATCGCGGTACCTCAAATATAGCTGAGAGAGAGTTCGATGAGCGAGCGTGTCAGGGATAGAATATTCGCTCGCCTGGTTGGAACTTGGACTTACCCGTTCCGGACTTAAACCCCCTATTTTGTGTAGCCGTCGTCACCGAATGGTGGCATCAATTGCGGCATTACGGCGTAAACGACTATAGCACTGCGGCTCTGCGGCACAGATCGATGCGGAGCCATGCGGTGCGGCACGGCATGTTCTTATGCATGCGGTAGACGAACAAATATATAGCTGGGAGAGAGATCGACCGACCAGCACGAGATCGTCTGATCCACTTTAACATCGGTCTCGGGGGTGAGTAATCCACGTTGTTCGGGGCAGAACGATGTTGAGCTTTAGGACATGGGCACCGTTTAGATATGGATACACCGGGGAACTCCCTCTAGTCGTTGTTTGAATTTTTGGCTATCCAGTTCAATCTCTGAACCGTGGGAACCTTTGTGGGCGGTTCGGTAATGTTCGGCTACTCAACGTTGCAACTCGGCCTTAGAGTTCTACAGAAACTCTATGAACATAGCAAGCATAGTTGGGGGTCCCTACCTGTTGGCCTTGCTCGAACCACATCGCGGAACCCGTTCGATTTGCGGTATAAGCAATTCAGGTTCTGCACGATCTTTTTATGCTACGAAATTTGTTTACTCAAGGACCCTCAGTTGCATGAATAATAAGGCTTGGTGATGGATTGCCCACGTGGGTTTTGGATGAACCCTAGAACCAACACCATTTCCACCGAAGAAGCTCATTTGAACCGGACCCGAGCCATTCGATGCGGACTGTGTTTTTTCTTTGTGAACAATTTGGAGTTGGGTTTTCAGGTTGAAACGAATTGTGTGAGACAGTGTGAGGCAGTTTCATTGGGTTTAAGTTGTCTCATGTCCCCTAAATTTGGTGCGCAACCAGGTTGAGAACAGAGCCTGTACCGGCTGGGTGGTGGATGGCCACATCTGCTCTGATTCAATCACCACAATGTGGAGTGTCGCGCAGAAGGAACCCGTTCGATTCGGGTTCGAGCCATGGTACGTAGACATGCAATTTTTCTTTGAGGCTTGCAAGTGAGATTCGACTCGAGCCCATCATCAATCAGTCACCTAAGGATCCTCGGTTGCAAGAAGAGTTAGGCTTGGTGGTGGAAAGTCCACATTGGTTGACTTTGTTTAAGAAAAGACACAAAAAGAGTTCAGCCAAAGATGTTCGTTCGAATCGCGCCCAAGCCATTCGTCGCGGCAGTGGGGGTGTTTCTTCTTCTTTGGGTTCCAAGTCAAACGAAGAATCGATTCTCTCCCATTGATGCTCATTAATTTTTGTGGACAATAATTATGAAGTTGGGTTTTCAGGTTGAAGTTGCGGTAAGTTCATTTGGTTCGAGGATCTTCTGATGCGCCCGGAAAATTCGGGATGTAGCCAGGTTAAAGAACAGAGTGAGTATAGGCTCGGTGGTTAATGGTCCACGTCTGTGCAGCTTAAGTAGTTTCACTACAGGCTATAAGCAGAAGGAACCCGTTCGATCTGGGTCCGAGCCATCAACACATTCTGCTTCCTTTTTTGTTATTCTTCCGTGCTTGAAAGTTGGATTTTCACCTGAACCCCTTCGCAATTTGCTCACCAAAGAATGCTCGGTCGCAAGAGGTGGAAGGCTTGGTGGTGGATGGTTCACATCTGGATGACTTGCCGCTCTGGAAGTGATATTACACAGAAGATGTTCATTCCAATCGATCCCGAGCCATTTGCCACAGTTCGATGTCCTTTTTCGTTTTGTTCTGTGCATGAATGAGTGTCAAGGGTCCATTTATTTGATCAATCTTTTGAGGAGGTCAGTTTCGTCTCCAAGGATATTTGGTCACTTTAGAATGTTTGGTTCCGGGTTTCCATCTGTCAAGTCCAGAACAGAGCCAGTATGGGCTCCGTGGTGGATGATTCACGCAGAAGGAGGGTCTGAGCCATAGACAAGTTGAACTTTTGATTATTGTTTTTGCATGCATTGGAGTCAACTCAACCCACCGGCAAGTTGGAAGCTCAGTTGCAAGAGGAGTCAGACCCGGCGGTGGAGGTCCACGTTGGCAATATATTCTGCGATGGACAAGACGGTCCCAATTCAATGAAGAGGTAATTTTCCTGCGCGCCAATCCTCAGGAATTCTTGCGAACAAATATGAGGTTGGGTTTTCAAATTGAAACGACTTAGGTCACGGTTGCGGCAGGTTGATTTAGTTCAAGCTATCTCATGCATCCAGAAATTGGCTACAGCCAATACTGGCTTGGTGGTGGATGGCCCACGTTTGCTGTACTTAGACATGAATTTTCATCACTCATGCAGAAGGAACCCGTTCGATTCGGGTCCGAGCCATGGATGGTCAGTGCCCGTTTTCTCTCTCTCTCTCTTGGATGCCGTCGAGTTGAAGTAAGTTCAAACACTTTCAAGTTTTGCTTGTTTGAGGAGCCTGAGTTGCAGGGAGTACGGTTCGGTGGCGGAGGTCCGCACATCAGCCTTTCGACATTTTGGTTGCCGGTTGTTTGACGTTGTCAGGTTGCCGCAACCTCACAACATCAAAGTGCATAAAATTCCCGCTCAGCATGATGAAGAATGGCTTCAGAAACAAGGTGAGATGGAAGCTAGAGACTCAAATACATCTCCCATGTAGTCAATTTCCCGGTGCAGCTTTCAACAAAAAAGATATTGCCCTTCGATCGGGTCGAACTCGCGAGGTTGTTCAGGAGAATTACATAGGTTGCAAGGTTGCAGGTTGTGTCGAGGTTGTGCCGATTTTGGTGGGGGTTGTGAGGTTGTTCAACCTGACAACCTGACGTGTCAAAAGTCTGATGCATCTGTATACCATGATTTGGAAGTGAGTGTACACGGAAGATGCTCGTTCGATTCGGGTCCGAGCCGTGGGATCGAATGTACCGAAATGATTTTTTGCCCGGCTTTCGAGTAGGATCATGCCGCATGCAGCCCTCCATCATTTAAAAGGTGATAGTCGCCCTGGGAGAGATAGTTGAAACAAGGATTGATTTTGAAATAGCGGTGTAGCCAGGTTAAGAACAGAGTGAGTCTTGGCTCGGTGGTGGATGGCCCACGTCTGCCTGTCCTTGATACTCCTTGGATCTTGCATGCAGAAGTAATGTGTTTGATTCCGGTCCGAGCCATACAACGCCACCAGTTTAAGTTTTTTTTCTTCCGCATGCCGTCAGGTTGAAGTCAGCTCAAACCCTAGGCCTTCCAAATTTTGCTGGTTTGAGAGCCTGAGTTGCAAGGGGAGTAAAGTTTGGTGGCGGAGGTCCACCTCTGTATACCCTGATTTGGAACTTTACAAAGTGAGGGTTGCTCATTCGAATCGTGCCCGAGCCGTGGGATCGAATGTATTGAAACGATTTTTTGCCTGCCTTTCGAGTAGTATGCCACATGCAGCCCTCCTTCATTTCAAACGGTGATAGTCGCCTCGGGAGGGGTAATTGAACAAGGATTGATTTTAAAACAGTGATGTATAGCCAAGTCGAGAACAGAGTGAGTATCGGCTCGGTGGTGGATGGCCCACGTCTGCTTGTCCTTGGAACTCCTTCAGGAAATGGTATTACATGCAGAAGGAACCTGTCCGATTCGGGTCCGAGCCATAGCACGATGGTCATTGTCGGTTTTTTTTTCTGGATGCCGTCAAGTTGAAGTAGTTCAAACACTTCCAAAAATTGCTGGTTTGAGAGCCTGAGTTGCAAGGGGAGTAAGGTTCGGTAGCAGACGTCCACATCTGTATGCCTTGTAAGTTTACGAAGTAAGGTTACACGGAAGACGCTCGTTCGAATCGAGCCCGAGCCGTCCGCTGAATGTATTGAACGATTTTTTTGCCCGGCTTTCGAGTAGTATACCGCATGCAACCCTCCTTCATCTAGAAAGGTGATAGTCGCTTGGGAGAGGTGATTGCAACAAGGATTGGTTTTAATATAACACCGTATCCGGGTCAAGAACAGAGTGAGTATCGGCTCGGTGGTGGATGGCCCGCGTTTGCTGTACTTGGATGTGTGCACTTCATGGCTTATGCAGAAGGAACCCGTTCGATTCGGGTCCGAGCCATGCTGTGTCGACGACCAGGTTCTTTTTTTCTCTCTCTCTCTTGGATGCCGTCAAGTTGAAGTCAGCTCAATCCCTAGGCCTTCCAATATTTGCGGTTTGGGGGCCTGAGTTGCGAGGGGAGGAAGGTTTGGTGGTGGGGGTCCACGTCTGTATATCGCAAAGCGAGAGTACATGGAAGACGCTCGTTTGAATCGAGCCCGAGGCGTCTGATGGATTGAGTCTACTGAAACGATTTTTTACCCGGGAATCTGCCGCATGCAGCCCTCCTTCATCTAGAAAGGTGATAGTCGCTCGGGAAGGCAATTGAACAAGGTTTGATTTTAAAATAGCGGTGTATAGCCAGGTCAAGAACAGAGTGAGTATCGGCTCGGTGGTGGATGGTCCACGTCTGCTGTCTTTGGTATTCCTTTGTTCTTGCATGCAGAAGGAACCCGTTCGATTCGGGTCCGACCCATACAGGGTTCTTGCGATTTTTTCTCTTGGATGCCGTCAAGTTGAAGTAGCTCAAACACTCCCAATATTTGCTGGTTTGAGAGCCTCAGTTACGGTTCGGTGGTGGAGGTCCACAGCTGTATACCATAATTTAGAACTTTACGAAGTGAAGGTACACAGGAAGATGCTCGTTCGAATCGAGCCTGAGCTGTTCAGATAAACTCGAAGAGGTTTTTTGCGCTGCTTTCGAGTAGTATGCCGCATGCGGCCCTCCTTGATTTAAAACGGTGATAGTCGCCTCGCGAGATATAATTGAGCAAGGAAAATAGCGGTGTAGCCGGATCAAGAACATAATGAGTCTCGGCTCGGTGGTGGATGGATGGTCCACCTCTGCTGTACTTAGGCCGCGTGCTTTTTATCGCTTATGCAGAGGGAACCCGTTCGGTTCGGGTCCGAGCCATGTCAGGAACGACTGCGGTCTTTTTTTTTCCGTCTTGGGCAAGTCTTGGGGGCAAAATCATCGTGAAGCTGGCATGCAGGGAAGATTCAGAGCAGAGTTCTACAGGCTTGGTGGAAGGTCCACATCGGGAACAAATCAGCAAAAATTGCGTCCGACAGTTTGACCGAAGAAGCTCGTTCGAATCGAGCTCGAGCCATGGGCCTCAGCTGCCGAATATTCCCTTTTAGTTTTTTATCCGGGCCCGGTACTTGTAAACCTAAAAAAGCCTCATCCAGTGACGGCTGGCTTTTGGCTGGCGTTGGGACTGTTCGAGAATCGAGACTGGCAGCAACGGAACAGAACGACGAAGACTGAGTGACGCAAGTCAAGAGCGGGAGGTTGATTCGAGTCGATAAGTCCACAGGCCGAAGTATGGTGCAGATTGGATTCGGAGAAAAGCGGAACCCCTATCGGGGCACACATAGCCGGCCCGCTTATCCCCGCCAGCACTTGTCAGGTCGCCGCTTGGTCGCCGCCCATAGGAACCCGCTCCCTCAAACAAAGTCCCTCGCTGGCTGCCCACCGTTAGTCCGCGCACTGAGATTGTCTGTTGTCCGTGTACTTTTCGTCCTCCTCTTGCTCAGACTGATATCTTGGAGAATGCTATAGCAGTACCACTATAATGACGACGGGCCAGGAGCCCCTTTGCCCATACCCGGCGCTGCATACGCGTCTCTTCCTCGTACAGGCCGACATCCGTTCCACGCGGGCGAATCTGGTGATCAACAACGTCCCCGGCGTTGTCATTCTTTTTTCGACCTCGCCACCGCCGCCAAGTTCTCCTGCCGTCTCGCGCGATGGTGGTCACTTACGCCGACCTTCATCATGAACTGCGCCACGCCGCCTCCCTGCGACTCGTCTTCTCCGTCAACTGCATTGGTGGATCTGGGGATGAGAATCGGCGGAGGGTATCGGGCTTCGACGGAGGTGAGCCGTTCGTTTCGCTCTGTCTTCAATGGCCTTTGTGCCACAGGCAGGACGCGACGGAGCTCGTTCCCGCGCGTCTACGTCTATGCCTCTCCGGGCTCCCTGCTTCCCTTCCCTTCCCTTCCTTGCCTCCCCTCTCTTCGTCCTCGTCCCTATTCCTTATCCCACCCTCTGAATTACTCCCTTCTGTCTCCTTTGCGCCCCCCTCCTTCTCCGTTGTCAGCTCGCTAACTCTCTTCCTAGTGATCGTCACTGGCCTGGAGTAGAAGGAGGTGGTGAGGCAGGTTTTGGTCTGGATGAATGGAACGATTGGTACCTACGGGTCCAGCAAAATTTCCACGCCGGACCCGCACCCGTACCGGGAGTAGCCGTCGGCGCCGCAGCGGCACGCGCGTTGGCAGCCCCCCACACGTGCGCGAATGAGCGCATCTGGGGCGCGCGCCTGTAGTTGCGCATCAAGCGGGGGTACAGACGGGGACGTTGAGGTGCGGGGAAGAGTGGGGGAGACGTAGGGCGGGCGGGGCTGGGGCGCCTTTGGATGGGTTTACGGCGGCGGGTGAGGGTGGGATGTACAAGCGGGCAGCGACTTGGGACGCGTACGGCATCAGAGTACAGGAGAGGGAGGACGAGGACGTGAGGCCGAAACAAGTAGAGAAGGGTCAAACAAGTGCGCTACTCTGCGCGGTACGACTGCTATTACTACACCGGCTCCCCTTTGCTTCCGCTTACCCTCCCTCCCAATCCTTTTACTTCTCCCCCGCTAACCCTTTCCCCCAGACTCCTCAAATCCCGACACTCACGCAGCGCCACATCGCACATCGTTACCGCGCTCGCCCTCGGGGCCGCTGCGCGCGGGGCTGGCGGGGGGGTGACTCGGAGTGCCGACGGTGATGCCGCGGTGCCCGGTGCGCGGGCGGCCGGGGGTTGCTGGTCTGGATGCCTGCGGCGCATGCTGATACTGCGTCGACGACACTTGGCTCGCACGAGGCACGGACACGGAGGACACGGCAAACGAGCGCACGACGCGCACGACTTGCCCTCCACGCATGTACCGGCAAACACGACACACGACACGCGCGCGCGCCGTTGCCTCCCCACCCCCGCACGGCCCTCGACCCGACCACAAGCGCGGTCGCGCCGCAGCCCGGCGGACATGGTGCTGGGCGTACTGGGGCGGAGAGCTGATCAAGTCGGTCCTTGCCGACCAGGAGAGCGTGGCGGGGGCGCAGGGGCGAGACTTCTTTTCTTTTTCTTTTTCTTGGCGTTTTGCGTTAGGGGACGGGTCAGACGGGCGACCTGGGATGCACGAACAAGAAGGGCACCGCAAACGAGCGGCGAGACCCCCACCGCCCGCACGACTCGCCCTCCACGCGCACACGACACACGACATGTGCGCACCGTTGCCTCCCCACCCCCGCACGCACGGCCCTCGACGCGACCATAAGCGCGCTCGTGCCGCAGGCTGGCGGACATGGTGCCGGGCGTATCGGGGCGGAGAGCTGAGTCGGTTCTTACCGGCCGGGAGAGCGTGGTGGAACTGGCGGAGCTGGTGTGCAAGGGGAGTCGTTTCGCCGTTTCGTTTGCCCTTCGTTCGTGGCTTCTATTCGATTTTGTTTTCGGTTTCCTTTCTTGGCCGGGCGGTTGGCGTTACGGGAAGTCGATGTGCTCGGATGCGGCTGCCGGATCCGTGTACCCGTGTACCCATCTCTTTCCTTTCTACTGTGCATCCGTTTTACCTATCTACGTCTTCACCCGTCCACCCTCTCACCCGTCTTTCCGTCTACTTTTTCCCGTCATTCGATTTTCGTACCACTTTCGATTCTTACCCTACCGTTCAACCGTATATCCGTTTTGCCGCCGTCATTTCCATCCCGCGTACTACCGTTCTTCCTTTTCCTTCCCGTTTACCGCTTTACCGTCTTTCCGATTCTCGCACTGCCGTTTTTGGATATCTTCCGCTTTGCCGTCCTCCGTCCTCCCCTCTCCTCTGCATCCGCCAACATGCCGAAATGGAGTACGTGCGGAATACGGTGGATGTACTGGAGTACGCGCGGAAGACGGTGGACGTGCTGTGCGGGAGATTGCTGAGGGAAGGTTGGTGAGGTAGCTGGTGCGAGGTCCACATGTGGATGTGGGCGAGGAGCGCATGGGAGGAAGAGGGGGGGTCTCGTCCATCTCATGCTTGCCACTCTCCTCGTCCGTGTTTGTATTTTGCGTCGACTCACTCAATGAACTGATTTTCTGGATCACATTCTGTATGGATTTAAGGATAGCCTCTACTGTCGTTCGCTGCCATCATAGTGCCCAACGCCGTGTACGGCGGCTTCCACTTCGGCACTCTTTCGGGTTCATTTGGTTGAAACAGCGACGGGCTCGACCTCACTCGATAGGATTCAACGCAACAGGCACAGAAGTACTGTAACGAGGTTAGAAGAAGCAGTACCCAATGATCCTGAGGAAGCATACCTGGCATGATCTTGCGTGGCCCCATGCTCCTCCTCTGGGGTCTTGAGGAGCAGCTTTCCAACCTCGGCCCATTTCGAGCGGTTCTGATCATAACTCGACTCGATCTCCTTCAAGTTGGCGAAGGTGGCAGCGAGAAATTGTGCAACAGGGATTGGCGCAGTAATAGGGGAGCCATCGACGCGTAGCGAGACGAGTTTTTCCTGCGCGATTTGGACCTCTAGG